TTGAGCTATACCTTTGCTTCTAATTTAAAAATGTCCCCATTTCCTGGAGTATATTTCAATAAATATTAATTAATTAATTAATTTTTGTCAGTTCTGGGGCCTGAACTCTGGGCCTGGGCGCTGTCCCTCAGCTCTTCAAATCAAGGCTAGTGCTCTACCATAAGCTATAGCACCACTTCTGGCTTTTTCTGCTTCTGTGGTACTGAGGAATGGAACCCAGGGCCTCATGCATGCAAGGCAAGCCTCTACCACTGAGCCATCTTTCCAGCCCCAATAAATATTATTTTAAATGATCAGATGCACATAGGTATTATGCCTTTGTGTTCTTCTCCTGAGAATATCCTCCTCGGGTCTCAGTATATGTGAATGTATGGAGTCCTATATAATTTAACATGTTCCAGTGAATATTAACTTCTACATATGTTGACATATTTTTATGTGTACAATTCTTTAAAGGTTTCTAGCAAAACTCTTGACCTTTATCTTATCCTTAATTCCTACAAAAAATACCATAAGCCATGAGAAGCAGTTAAAATATCAGCAGTTTATTTGAGTTTAACCAAATACATATGTATTGATTAGCTTGATCTTTGAATTAGCAGAAATACAGTCACTTGTAAATTAATTGTCTTTTATACAGATTATAAAAAGTCATATATATATATATATATATATATATATTTTTTTTGCCAGTCCTAAGGCTTGAACTCTAGGCTTGAGCTCTATCCCCAAGTTCTTTTATGCTCAAAGCTAGTGCTCTACCACTGAGCCATACCATCACTTCTGGCTTTTTATGTGATTAATTGGAAATAAGAGTCTCATGGAGTTTCCTGCCTGGCTGGCTTTGAACTACGATCCTCAGATCTCAGTCTCCTGAGTAGCTAAGATTATGGCCACTGGTGAGCCACCAGTTCCCAGCAAAAGTCTTATTTTAACTATGACAGTTTTTACAAGGTACCCCACTGAGATACCAATAAAAGTTAAATAACCATCCTTTTCATATTTAGAAAAGCTTTAAGAACATTTACAATTGAGTTGTATAAAAATTCATGCATCTGCATATCAAACATATAAGTTTCACCAAGGCATTTTAATTTAAATAAATAGTTACCCAGTACTGTTAAATAACTTTCCATGGTTGGAACAGAATACCTGTGATAACTTAAAAGAAGGATTTTTTTTTTGTCGGTCGTAGGGGCTTGAACTCTGGGCCTGGGAGCTGTCCCTCAGCTCTTCAGCTCAAGGCTAGAGCTCTGCCACTTGAGCCACAGTGCCACTTCCAGTTTTTTCTGCTTATGGAACCCAGGGCCTCATGCATGCAAGGCAAGCACTCTACCACTGAGCCACCTTCCCAGCCCCCAAAGAGGGATTTTAGTGCATAGTTTTCTAAGTTTCACTCCATGGTCCTGTGGCTCCTATCACTTGGAGCCCAAGGCTGAAGATCACATCAGGGAGAACGTGAGGAGCAAAGGTGCTCATGGTGGGTGCCAAGAAGCAGAGGATATCCCCTTCAACTCCCTACCTCTAAAAGCTTCCATCCCCTCCCCATGATGCTCTCCACTGAGGACCAAGCCTTCACCACATGAGCCATCCTGAGACATTTCCGATTTAAACAAAGACAGACATCAGTGGCTCACACCTATAATCCTAGCTATTCAGGAGGCTGAGATCTGAGGATCACAGTGCAAAGCCAGCCCGGGCAGGAAAATCCAGGAGACTTTTCTCTCCAATGAACTACAAAAAGAAAAAAAGAAAACACCAAAAAACAAAAACCCAGAAGTGATGGTATGGCCCAAGAGATAGAGCAAGGGCTGGGAATGTGGCTTACCGGTAGAGTGCTTGCCTAGCATGCATGAAGCACTGGGTTTGATTCTTCAGGACCACATACACAGAAAAAGCTAGAAGTGGTGCTGTTGCTCATGGTAGAGTGCTAGTCTTGAGCAAAGGAAGCTCAGGGACAGTGCCCAGGCCCTGAGTTCAAGCCCCAGGACTGGCAAAAAAAAAAAAAAAGAGGTATAGCATCAGCTGTGAGTAGAAAAAGCTGAGGGACCACATCTAACTAAGCTCTGAGTTCAAGTCCTGACACAAATCAGGGGGAAAAAACAACAAAATAATGAGTGGTTCCACTTTTGTGCTACAGCTCTAGAAATGCTCAAGGGACAGTTTCCTGTCACTAGTGTTCCCCATCCCCCCAAGCCATTTTCAAATAAATGGACAGCTCTCAGTGCAGCAATGACTCTGCAGTTACCTGTGAGCATGCCTACTGAATAGTAAGTTGTAGAGCTGATGGGAATCTGCGCTGGTGCTAATGTGCTATGTGCAAGATGCTCATCTATGTACACTGGCTTGGAGAAGAGACATTGGAACACAATACTTAGGAAGGCTTGGGTTCATAAATGTCACAAGTTTAAATTTCCACCACTCACTTTTTTTTTTTTTGTCAGTTGTCAGGCTTGAACTCAGGGCCTGGGCCTCTTCTCTGAGCTTCTTTGTGTCTAAGGCTATCATGCTACCACTTTGAGCCACAGTGCCATATCTGGTTTTTGTGTGGATAATTGGAGGTAAGAGTCTTACAGGTACTCTCCTGCCCTGGCTAGCTTTGAACCGTGATCCTCAGATCTCAGCCTCCTGAGTAGCTATGATTACAGGCGTGAGCCACCAGGCACCTGGCTCTACTCCCTTTTTTTGGTATGCAGCCTTCACAGCTGTGATGCCAACCAAATCATCTTTCTCCCCAGCTAACTGGTCTATGCAGTTTGCCTGATTTTCTATTGAACAGCACAATGTATCTTAAGCTGCTTTTAGGAAACAGAAAGCTTTGTCATGTGCTCTAAAACAAATGGTGTGGACAGGAGGCTTGGCTTAGTTGGTAGAGAGTGAGCCAGTGGGTAAAAGTGTCAGGTACAGGTAGGGTCGTGGACCTTGGAGGCAGAATACCTGAAGCTAGATCTATTTGATCTGTGGGCTCCCTTCTTGAGCGGGAATGGATCAGCTATGTAATCTCTTGCTGCATTTCACTTGCAAAACACTATTTATATCTGCCACTGAAATCTACATAATTCCTGGTTTCTGATGTAGAGCTTCTAAAACTCCGGAGAATTTTTAGAGTGCTATAACTATGTTCTTCATGATAATTGCCCTCAGTAAATTCCAGATTTGGACTGGAGAAGCTCTTTAGCATGGGGCTAAGTCACCAGAAAGAGTGAGTGACAGGATTAGCAAATTAAAACTTTGAGACTATCCATTTGATCTCTGAAGTGAGGGGCTGGAGATCAAGGTTTGTTTGTTTGTTTGTCAGTCCTGGGGCTTGAACTCAGGGCCTGGGCACTGTCCTTGAGCTTCTTTTGCTCAAGGATAGCACCCTACCACTTGAGCCACAGTGCCTTGCCACTAAGCTACATTCCCAGCCAGGAGATCAAATTCTGAAAAGCGTCTTCCTTCCTTCATTCCTTTCTTTCTTCCTTTCTTCATTTATTTATTTTGTGCTAGTACTGGGAATTGAACTTAGGGCCTAGGAACTGTCCCTTAGTTTTTTCACTCAAGACTAGTGTTCTACCATTGGAGCCATAGTTGCAATTCTGGCTTTTTGGTGCTTCATTGGAGATAAAGTCTCACCAATGTTTCGAACCATGAATTTCAGATCTTAGCTTCCTATGTAGCCAGGATTATAGACATGAGCCACTGGTACAGGACTGGATATTTATTGTTTTTTCTAACAGCCATCAATTCCTCTTAAAGGAGTATGTCACATTTTAAAAATGTAAATACTGTGTCGCATCATCCCTCAGTTTGGGAATTCTAGGATCCCCTGGGATACTAAAAATCTAAAGATGTTCCAGTCACTTCTATAAAATGAAGTGATGTTTGTATATAACTATGCACATAGTACTAACAACTTTACATCCATTTCCCTTCCACCCCAAAGCTAGCACTCTACCACTCAAGCCACAGCGCTACTTCCAGCATTTTTGGTCATTGGAGAGAAGAGTTTCATGGACTTTTCTGTCCAGGCTAGCTTCAAACTGCGATCCTCATATCTCAGCCTCCTGAGTAGTTAGGATTTCAGGCGTGAGCCACTGGCACCCAGATTTACAACCTTTCTACATTACAGCACCATTTCCAGCTTTTTTCTTTTTGCTTATGTGGTGCTGAGGAATTGAACCCAGGGCCTCAGGCATGCAAGGCAAGTGCTTTACCACTGAGCCAACTTCCCAGCCCACCTTTCTACATTACTTATAATACCAAACACAATATAAATGCCATGTAAATAGGTATTCTACTCTGTTGTTTAGGAAATAATAACAAGGGAAAAGCGCCCGTGTTTATTACAGGTGTGAGCCACCAGTTCCTGGCTCTCTCTCTCTTCCTGTCTGTCTGTCTTCCTTCCTTCCTTCCTTTCTTTCTTTCTGTCTGTCTTCCTTTCTTTCTTTCTGTCTGTCTTCCTGTCTTTCTTTCTTCCTCCCTTTCTCCCTCCCTCCCTCCCTCCTTCTCTCTCTCTTTCTTTCTTTCCTTCTTTCTTTTTTTTTAAAAAACTGATTAGAGGTAAGAGTCTCTCAGATCTGTTTATTCCTGGCTGGTTTTGAACCTCCATCCTCAGATCTCAGTGTCCTTGAGAAGCTATAATTATAAGAATGAGCCACAGGCATCCATTTGTTGTTGTTGTTGTTGCTTTGGTAGGATTTGTATGCTTGGCAATGTATGCTAATTTTCATATGGATTTTTAAAACCAGTTCTTGACTAAAACATTTTGAAAAAAAAATCTTACAAACCTATTTCATTGTATTAATTAGTAAGGAAGACTCTCTAGAAAGACTTGGTCTTGGGCTCAAGTGGTAGGGTGTTAGCCTTGAGCAAAAGAAGCTCACGGACAGTGCCCAGACCCTGAGTTCAAACTCCAGACCCAGCAAATAAAAGGAAAGAAAGAGAGAAACAGAGAGGGAGAGAGAGAAAGGGAAGGAGGGAAAGGAAAGAAAAGGAAAGGAAGAGAGAGAAAGAAAGAAAGAGAAAAAAGAAAGGAATAAAGGAAAGGAAAGGAAGGAAGGAAGGAAGGAAGACTTGTCCTTAAAAACATGGAGATTATCTGGACAAGGCCCATTGTACTGTTACTGGTTGCTGTCAGTTATGAAAGTAGAAAAAATTTTAGTTTTTCCAGTCTTGTGTATCTGTCTTTTGGCTTGCCAATTGCAGGAGATTTTTTTTTTTTCCAACGTCAGAATGCAGTTATTAGAACCTTGGGATTTTCTTCTCTATCCATTGAGGCTCTGGATTTTTTCCCACATCTGAACCTGAAAATCAAATAGTTGCTAAAGAAAATCAAATTTTCAAGACTTTCTTCTTCAAATTATCAAGCTAGCAGTGAAAAACATTTCCCCGATCAATGAACAAGCAATTAGAAACTCTAATGGAAGAATCTCACGGAAGTGGTGCTGTGGCTCAAGTGGTAGTGTGCTTGCCTTGAGCTAAAGAGCTCAGGGACAGCGCCCAGACTCAAAGTTCAAGCCCCACGACTGACAAAAAAAAAAAATCTCATGAGCATAAATCTAATATTTTTTTATTTGAAGACAAAGTTTTCCTTTCCTTTTATTTGTTTGTGATAGGGTCTCCCATTCTTACCTTCTTCTTCTTCTTTTTTTTTTGTCAGTCCTGGAGCTTTTTTTTTTTTTTTGTCAAACCTAGGTGCAGTCCCTGAGCTCTTTAGCTTAAAGCGAGCATTCTACCACTTGAGCCACAGAGCCACTTCTGTTTTTCTAGTGGTTAATTGGAGATAAGAGTCTCATGGACTTTCCTGCCTGGGCTGGCTTTGAATTGTGATTCTCAGATCTCAGCCTCCTGAGTAGCTAGGATGACAGGCGTGAGCCACCAGCAATCAACAACATTGTCTATTCAAAATGTCTAGGTAAATGTTCTAATATTGTTTACAGAGTAAACGTGCTTCCCTTCACTTATTATCTATCTGTTGGTCTATCTGTCTGTCTGTCTGTCTGGAAACAGGGTCTTGCTACGTTGTCTAGGCTGCTCTCAAATTTCTAGAGCATCCTACCTCAGCTTTCCCAAGTAGCTGAGATAAGAGTGTTCGCCAATCTTCATACTTCTACCACTTAGCCACACCTTTAGCTCTTTGCTTAGCTATTTTCCAGATGGGGTCTTGCATTTCAATCTGGGACTAGGCTTAGAGTGCAATTCTCCTATCTATACCTTCCATTGCTGAGATGATAGGCATGTTCAACCACACCTAGCGTATAAATTGAGATTAGGTCTCACTAAACTTTTTCCCTTTGGGCTGATCTTCTATCTCATGTAATCTCTATGTAATCGTCTGAGAAACTGGAATTACAGGCATGAGCCCCCATACCCAGCCCCTGAATTGGTACATTAGAAAAAAAAATCAAGCTGAACAGTGGTAGCTCACACCTGTCATCCTACCTACTCAGGAGGCTGAGATCTGAGGATCACAGTTCAAAGCCAGCCTGGGCAGGAAAGTGCATGAGACTCTCATTTCCATTTAACCATCAGAAAACAGGAAGTGAATCTGTGGCTCAAGTGATAGAGCACTTGCCTTGAGCAGAAGAGCTGAGGAACAATGCCCTGGCCCAGAGTTCAAGCCTTACAACAGACAAAAAAAAAGAAAAAAAATCACATACTAAATTTGTATGGTTTCTTGAGTTTTTAATCCTGAATTCTATCCAACTCTCTTGAGTTCATTTCTTACACTATGACCATACTGACTTGATTAACTTGATTATCATTGTTTAACCATCTACTTTATTATCTGATAGAGCTGGTCTCTTTCTTTTCTTTTCTTTTTTGGTCAGGCTTGAACTCTAGGCCTGGGCTGTCCCTCAGCTCTTCAGCTCAGGCTAGCAGTCTACCACTTGAGCCACAGCACCACTTCTGATTTTCTGGTGGTTAGTTGGAGATGAGAGTCTCACGGACTTTCCTGCTTTCAGGCTGGCTTTGAACTGTGATCCTCAGATCTCAGCTTCATGAGTAGCTAGGATTAGGATTACAGGCATGAGCCACCAGCACCTGAATACAGCTGGTCTTAATATTCTTTCTCAGACGTTTCCCAGCTATTCTTGCATTTTTATTATTTATTTATTCATTCTCCTTTCCATTCCATTAAATTTCACTTACCCTTTCACTCTCTGCATCTGTTCTAATGTCTCTGGCAGAGTCATTCCAAAACTTTCAGGGAAAAAGAGGGTGACAATGCCAATCAGGACAGTCAGACTGCCCATGACAATGTATGGCAGAAGTCTGTCATAAGCACCTGTAAAGTAAGCATAAGAATACCAATTAGAGACAGGGACTTCCCAGACACTGTGTGTGTATGTGTGTGTGTGTGTGAGTGTGAGTGTGTGTATGCATGTGTGCGCACATGGGTGACAATACTGAGACTTGCACTCAAGGCCTGGGTGCTTTCCCTAGCTTTTCCCACTCAAGACTCATGCTTTACCATTTGAGCCACAGCTCTACTTCTGGCTTTCTCACAGAACAGACTTTTCTGCCCAGGCCTACCTTCTAATGGCAATCCTTTCAGATCTCAACCTCCTGAGCAGTTAGGTTTACAAGCATAAGCCACTAGTGCCCAGTTTAAAAGTCCCTTTTAAAGAACTGGGTGCTGGTGGCTCATGCCTGTCATCCTAAGTACTCAGGAGGCTGAGATCTAAGGATCACCCTTAGAAACTATCTGGGCAGGAAAACCCAAAAGACTCATCTCCAGTGAGCCACCAGAAAAACCCAGAAATACAGCTGTGACTGAAGTGCTGGATTGCTAGCCTTGAAAAAAGGCTCAGGGGGCTGGGAAGGTGGCTCAGTGGTAGAGCGCTTGCCTTGCATGCATGAGGCCCTGGGTTCGATTCCTCAGCACCACATAAGCAGGAAAAAAAAAAAAAGCCGGAAGTGGTGCTGTGGCTCAAGTGGTAGAGCGCTAGCCTTGAGCTGAAGAGCTGAGGGACAGCGCCCAGGCCCAGAGTTCAGGCCCCATAACTGGACCCCCAAAAAAGAAAAAAGGCTCAGGGACGGCACCTAGGCCCTGAGTTCAAGCCCCAGGACCAGGGAGCATGCATGCACCTGTGCATGCATGTGCGCACGCATGTGCACACGCGCACGCACGCACACACACACACACACAATTATTTGTAAAGGAGGCAGATGAGAGATGAAGTGTTTTGAAACCTGAACATTTTTCAGAAAATACAAGTCAGCAAAATACCCCAGTTTCTTCTTGGCAGGTGCCACTGATTGCATTTCTATAATCATTTACCTCCTGGTGATTGCACATTTTTGTAGAGCTTTTTATTCTTTCCTGTTATCCGGTGTCTTCTAAGGGCAATCACGTGTAACAGATGTTCCTTTGATAGAAATCTTTGCCTACCAAAGATTTCCTCTTAAGGTGGTGGTAGTCGAAGATGGGAGAGAGGGCATAAAGGGGCCAGGACGTTTCATGAACATGCTCTCACTGGGTACTGGTGGCTTATGTCTGAAATCCTAGCTACTCAGGAGGCTGAGATCTGAGGATCAGGATTCAAACCCAGCCTAGGCAGGAAAGTCCATGAGACTCTTATCTCCGACTAATCATAGAAAAAGCCAGAAATAGCACTATAGTTTTCATGGGCTAGGAAGGTGGCTCAGTGGTAGAGCGCTTGCCTAGCACTATGGTTTTCAAATAGTAAACACTAGCCTTGAGCAAAAAAGAGCAGCTCCGTGACAGTGTCCAAGTCCAGAGTTCCAGCCCCAGGACAGGCAAACAACCACAGCAGCAACACCAACAACAAAACCCAAAGCAAAACAAAAACAAAAAACCAACAACCCATAAACATGAATAAAAACAAAAACAAAATTGGTCTGTCTATTATTAAGTCTGGTGTGACTTTACTTTTACCCAAACTATTAAGTGACATTTGAAGGCTAGATTCCTGGAGACACAGATCCTTTAAACAAACAAATACCATTTTGTGTGTGTCTTTTTTATTTTTCTTTTGTTGGTTGTGAGTCTTGAACTCTGGGCCTGGGCACTGTCCCTCAGCTCTTCCGCTCAAGGCCAGCGCTCTACCACTTGAGCCACAGCACCACTTCCATTTTTTTTCTGTGTAGATGGTACTGAGGAATCGAACCCAGGGCTTCATGCATGTTAGGCAAGCACTCTACCACTAAGCCACATTCCCAGCCCTGGATTTAGTTTCTTTTGAAAGCATTTATATGTCTTGATTTTGTACATCATTGAAAACACCATGCTACCCCCATTCCCACTAGATGGGAGAATTAAAACAAAAATAAAAAGACGGGAGAACAATAGATCTTCATCCTCTGGTTTGAGGCTTTGACCTTTCCCAAGCAGGAAAGGTCCTTGAGACACTTATCTCTAATCACCAAAGAGCTGGAAGTGGAGCTATGGCTCAAGTGGTAGAGTGCTGTCCTTGAGCGAAAAGGCCAAGCAACAGTGTGAGGTTCTGAGTTCAAGCCCCAGCGTTAGCACACAAAGAAAGAAAGAAAGAAAGAAAGAAAGAAAGAAAGAAAGAAAGAAAGAAAGAAAGAAAG